TCTCACTTTTTCTCCGGAAGTGTTTGCTTGTGGGGTAGATATTGTTGGGCCCTCGAATCTCATAACATTTGTAAAATCGGTGCCTCCATACTGGAAGAGTTTCTACCAAACTCTGATAGCAATGGTTGGAGGCGATCCTGGAACGTGAGAATTTTTTCATCAGTTTGGAAACTGCATTTTTAACTTAGGGAGGAGGGACTCCGAGCACTCAAGGAGCGATCTCCTTTGTTTCTTGCTGATCGTGTCACAAAACCATTATTGATTTTACAAGGTGCTAATGACCCCAGAGTAAAACAGCAAGAATCAGGTAAGTGGATATGCTTTCCAAGGTGGTCCTGTAAATGTCTCCTTCTCAGACCAATTTGTGGAAGCACTGCAAAACAGATCCATTCCTGTATCTTATATTCTTTACCCAGATGAAGGACACGGTTTCAGAAAGGTACGTACTATGGAATGATATCGATACAATGCAATAAAGCCACTTTCAACCATTGTAGGAAGGCAATCTGTTGACTCAGCATGGGTTTGTAGAACAATTCTTACACACATGTTTGGGAGGAATGTACGAAGCCTTCCAGTTGGGAGACTACAATACTACAGCTATAGTAAGTGTATTGTAGTGAGTGCGAGTTTGAATTCACGTCTGATTGAGACCGGTATGTTTTTGTTGAGGTACATAGTGGGACCTCTAATTAAGCAATCTTCCAATGCTAGCAGCAAAATGTGGTTTTTAAAGCAAGGAAAATTGTTTCAAAAGTGCACTTGGAAACGATAGTTTCGCAGACACTTTTGGAGCAATTTCCACTAAGCAGAATAGCTATGTACTTTACATCGTTCATCCATCTTAAGTGTTTTCTACTAATCCTCACCATGGCACATCAAAGATAGACTTAATATCGTTCATTTCTTGTTTTTAGTTTTCAATCACCCGAAAGGCCAACGCTTTCTTTGAAGTCATACGACTTTCTACAAATTTGATGAAACATTTTCTGAGCCAACGGAATATTTAACAGTGGTAATAAAACAAATAAGATGAGTCACGACGTAATAATGCGACTTTTGTTGAGCCGCTGCCCGTTCAGAGGAGTTTCCTGAAGATTTTGATTACCAGTGTCTCATTTGTTCCACACAGATGCCTGGAGCTACTAATAGATTGAATAGTTAGCATGACTGACTTTTCACAGGTTTTCTAAATACTGAAAATTTGAAGAAAACATGGCCACCACATACGAATATTCAGGGGATCATACAAAGATATGGAGAAAAAGCTGCTTAAACGACAGTTTGCACTAGCTCATGAATCTTTGTACTAGGTTTGAGTCAAAAGTAATGAGTCTTTACACTCCATTTTGATCTTTTTGCGAATCGAATAGATATATTATTAGGTTGGTTATTGACACATTGACGACTTGACACACATGATGTGTCAAGGCTTGACACACAATGTGTGTTTTGAAATGGC